TTCTGGGATGTATACTTCCTTTACCTGATACGACCTTGAGCTATGAACCCTTTCCTCCAATTCGTGTGGTTCTTGACCAATCAATTACTCACCCACTTTACATAATTCTCTTGCTCCTCAATGCGTCTATGGCACTCTCCCTTCTTAAATGCCTCTGATGCTGTAATGGCTTCGTAGCTCATATTGTTCTCAAATATTTGTCTTGAGTAATAAATTATTAGTCTGCCCTAAACAAGTTATGTCTCGTCGTAACTTCAGCTCGTAACAAGCCTAGACCTTGAACTTCGTCCTCCCTATCTTGACTGCTGACGAATCTCCTTGGTATCGAATGTTTGAATTGCTGATTACCTCCGGTGTTGGTTCCTAGGTATCGCTTCTTCTCCCTCTATAGGCCTCGTTATTCTCCTCTTTGATAATTCCACTTATTACGCACTCTTGATGCCTGATTCACCATATATGGTACCTTTAGCATGAGAAAATCCCCTACACATCCCTATTAATGTTCTTAGTACCCCTTTCAACCCCAAGGTTACTAATAGAGGCTTAACCTCCATCTTGTTTATTGCAAAACTCTTTTAACGTAACCTCATCTGCGGTTGACCACATATATCACCTAGGTCCTTGTACCTTATAACTTTGAATCTCTTACTTCCTTCCAAGATTCTTCGTCTCCTCCTTTTAGCCATCAACTGAATGGTCATCTCCTTGTTACTTCTTGCTTTACCCTGAAACCTCACACTACTACTCTTACTTGTTGTATGCCTTAAAAGCATCCTTTGCATCTTTCTCTAGCTTGCGATTAACTTTATGAATCCTTTCCGGAATCATGACCTTCCATTTTGTGTACTTGCTCACTCCTGGCACCTACCTTAACACTTCCTTATAGATGCTTGAATTTGATGTTCTCGTAATATCCATTCTGCCACTCTTAGACCCTAGCTGAAATTCCTCATACAGTTTACCCGTCCAATTGAGTTTTACCTGAGAGATTGACACATTTCACCAGCATAGGCGATCTTGTTTTCAATTTGTGGTATTCTATCAGGTTCCCTAAACTTATAGCCCTCTTACTTCGTTACACGTGACTCTTCTTCTTGATGTTCCTTGCTAGTTCTAGCTGACCCTTATTCCTAATGTAGCCCTCTAGGTTCTTATTTTCTCTTCTCACCCGTGTACCATGATAGATAAGGTTCTCCCTTCGACTATTCCTGACGATCATGATTCCACCTTAAAAATTGACTGAAATATCTCTATGGACTTCCTATGGATCGGTTGTGCTCTACTTGGTGGTCAACCTAATGCTTTCTTGTTGTCTGTTGTACTCCTGCCTCCGCTCGTCTTACTATCTTCCTTGGCGCATACATCGTCAGGTTGATGCCAACCATTTTTATTCTATAACTTCCCACAATGTTCCTCTTGCTTCTTTACTTTTACTACCACCAAACTACAACTCTTCTGTTGTTGCTTGTACTATATTTGGTCACCAACCTCTGTTGGGTATCTTCTCGTTGTTGTTTTAGGTCACAACTTCCAATGGTGGCTTGCCCTTGGTGACCTTTAACATAACTCATTCCATGTCTCTTTTGTTGATCGATCTTGTACATAAACTTAGTCTCTTAGTTAGGATTCTTAGCGACTTAACTAAGCGTGCCTGTTTCATCCTTAACTAGTTGTCTCCTTTGGAGCCCTCCTACCATGCCGCGCCCACTCAGAGTGGGGCACCTTGGATAAGGTAACTTCTCTTTTTCCTCCTTCTCGGTAATGCTTTCCCTTATCGTACCTCTTTGTACAGCTTCTTGACCTCGAGTCACCTGAGACTTGACCCATTGACTTCTTGAAATCCCGTCAAACTCCCCCTGGCCTTTTTGCTCTTCCTTTGTATTGTTCGCAAACTCTCTTCATTACGACCGTTTAGACTCTTCCTCGAATTCCCCAACTTTCATTAGAACTTCTAATGTACGTTGTACTTGCTTGTCTATACCCGGTTGATTGAATGATTTACTCCTACGGCTGGTTCCGAGACTCCCACTCTTGGCCCTCTAGTTCCCACTTTAGAATTTCCCAATGGATTCCTTGAAATTCCATGATTTTCTGATTCTCCTTGATCATGGTAATTTGCAGGGTCTCTCAACCCCTTTTCATACCTTGTCCTCTAACTTGCGCTTGACAGGTGTATAGCATGTCTGATCTAACCTCAACCTCTACATCATTTATCTCGTTGCTTGTCTTGTTCCCTTTTAAAGGCTTGCTATCAGCCTAACTCCCTAGGGTCATGTACCTTTTTCTCTAGTGAGGTAGTTTAACTATAAGGGTTCCTTTATCGTCATATGGAAATGACCATGACTCCTCTCCACCTTGTCCTTTTAACTTCTTGACGTCCTTTCCTACCCCATGTAGCCTACTTATTTCCTCTTTTGCTTCCTTTATACTACCCTAGCATTTCTTAAAGTCTAAAACATTCCTCTGCTCCTTGTCACTGTGTTGTAATAGCGTTGACCACTAAAACTAGTTGAGGGACTTCTCGTGGTACCTCTTCGTTCCTTGGCTCGTTGCTTCCTCGCCGCTGCTTAGGGTCAAGGACACTGAAATCCTCCCTTCATTATAGCTACTGACATCTAGTGACGGTAGCTCTTTCTTCGGAGATTCATAGTTCTCCTATTTGTTTGCTTTTGCTTATTAGATCCTCTCCTTGCTTCCTAGTAGTAGAATACTCGTACTACTCCTTCAACTCCTTCAAGATCCTAGAGGTATTCCCTTACGATTGGAACCACTTCTATTAGAACTATAGTTATTTACCTTAATACGATTATAGTAGACTGGAGATTCTATAGACTCTTCAAAGAAGATCATTGACTCATTTTCCGTTCCTTTAAAACAAAAGCCTTAAAAAAACTGAGACCGGCATTCCAGTATTCCATGGAAACCAAGGAAGAGAGGAAGACCGGCTCTGATAAAAAAATGAAACACCCTAACCCGGCCGGGTACTACTTTTACTAAAATGCCATTGATAAATAAAATACTCAAATCTTAAATTTCAGCGGGAAAAATTTTCATAAATAAAATACTGAAAACACACTTTTAGTTCAAAGCAAAGCCCTAACACAGGGGCAAATTACACTCAAACTTTAAAATCTCAATCTGATCTCCAGTCTATACTCATAATCATAAATGTAAATAACTGAAAATCTCTAATGTTGTTGCTACTGAAATCTTGACTAAGCATCCTCTGTGACGCTTATACTGCCCTCCTCTAGCTGGCTGCCCTTGAACTTTTCCTGTCAAACTCGCTGCTCTCTAACTGCTCCTCTAGCTAGCTGCTACGGAACTGGTTCTCGCTTATTCCCTTACTAAGGCCTGGTGAGTGAGTTGGGGTCATTCTACGCCCTTACGTTTAGCATCTTTTTACAACTTGATCACTCTACTTAACTGAGTGGAAGTTGTTTTGTACTTCCACTATTAAAAAGCTTAATTCTTAAAACTGTATGGGAGTTATTGTTACTCTCCATTCTTAAAGCTCAAATCTTGACTTAAATACTTGACTGACACGGGGATCCCTCACTAGCTAGTCCGGTTGCCAACTCATACGTATGAGAAGCCATCAAGGCTTTCCTTAAACTTAAACTTAGTTAGGGAAGTCGTAATGATTCACCCCTCTAACGTCTTAAACTTATCGTGGTGGCTCTTCACCACGATTCTCAAGAGCATAACTGCTGCTCATCTTAAAAGTCTCAAGAGCATAACTGTTGCTCTATCTCAAGGATCTCAAGAGCATAACTACTGCTCTATCTGAAAATCTCAAATGGAAACGGACTGGCGCTAGTGACTAAAAACACTTAAAACGACTTCACCTTCTTGAAGGTGAGTTACTTCTTTAAAAGAACTTGTTTATTACTCTTTAATAATAACTTATACTCGTAAAAATTTCAAAGTAATTTATAAACATTCACTTCAAGCATAGCTCAAACAAAATCACCTCAAATAGCACAAATCATCACAAACCATAACTCAAGCAAAGCACAAATAATCAATCATACACATAACCAAGCAACGATAACCCATTTGCTAAAATACTTAAAAGAATACGCAAGGCATAGAATTTACCCCCTTTACACTCACCTCGAAAAGACGACTCCTCAATGTAAGAGTGCGTGTCCCTGGTTACTTCATCTCTCTTTCTTAACCTCCTCAGCCACGTGCATGAGCAAGCCTTCAATCAAAATTCCTACTTTTGTGCCGCCGCTTGATCAAAATAATAATAATGACTCTGATGTCCCTCGAGTCCCCTTTCTCAATTATCCAACCGTCCAAGCCTGCATCGCAGCTTGCAAGTACGGAAATCATCATCTTGGCAGGCTAATTCATGGAGGCTCTCACTCGTCCCATCATCGTGGAACTAGTGTCCAATTAATTCTGGGTTTCCACCATCACCGCTTTCCCCCTCTCAATATCTCGGTCTACATAAATCCGAGTGAATCTCATTTAATTCCACTCGTACCAACCCGCTCTATAACCCCAGCCGCCAATCTCCTATCTCGCCTCGCTTGATTGCCATTCGTCTGCCTCACCTGCTTGCTTGAATAATGGTCCTGCTTGCTTGAATGGACCTGCTTGCTTAAGCTAGCACCTCTCTCGCCTTGTCATTCGTTTGCCTCACTCAATATTGAACCGAATGACACTCTACTAAACAGATCATCTGCATACCTACACCATCCAGATTGTTTCAGTAACTCATTGTCCCCTATTAACAAGACTTCATCTGGAGCCTAGAAACACTGGAACACTACAATGTAGGTGTGAAGTTGCTGACCTAGCTTCTGATAAACCACAAACGCACTTTTTTTTTTAAAGAAGATATGTATCTCCTAAAATGGCTAGCTAAATAACCAAGTTGCTGGATCCAACTAGCCAACGATGACTTCTAGTTTTTAGGAGGACCCATTTGTCCTTGCAGAATGTCTCAACCAAAATTTAAGCAAAGCTAGTCATGTGCATCACCGGACCTACAATAAAGGTATCAATAACCAAACCTTGTCCAAGAGCAATATAACACGCTTCATCTGCGCCCCAACGGGAGCCTTCCAGATACCATTGATGAGTTGAAGCCTTTCTGTATCATTAGAGAACTTGATACTGTTGGGAGCAGGAATTTTCCCACTGCTTGCTGCAGCACCATTGCCGGAAGGTTTCTGAGAACTGTTGGAAGATCCAGCCTTGGCAGCCACGTTCTTGATCGCCGAGCACCTCCCTGCCTGCTTATTGAACTTGTCCAATTTCGCCTTATAATCCATCTATGAAAAGCTTGCGCTTCCGTGAGAGGAGAGCTGGCTAAAGTCGGCAGGGAATGCAGGGGGAGCTTCGGCTTCAATGTTGGCTGTCGCTAGGAATCACTTTGTTTAGGGTTTGTAACGGAGGAAGAGAAGGGAGGGTTCGTGGGGAATTGGTAGTGAAGGCCGCTTGGCCTCTTATGGCCGGCAGTTATATATAATTATTTTATATTATTAATAATATAGTAATAATTATATTATTATTAATAATAAGAAGAATTAATCCACGATTGCAACCCTTCGTACGTAACTGCTAATCCAACCGATCCCGTAATATGGTCGAACCTGAACCCAAGGGTCGGGGTGTTACAGCATATGTTACACCCTGGCTGTGATCTTAACGGTGAGCATTGACGCTTTTCACCATTTTGGCTCCCTTTGGTTTGACTTTTGTTCCTTTCGCCAATTTCACATGCTAGAATATGAAACACACTAAAACATGCAAAAACCTAGCATAAAATGGCTCAAGGCATGATGCAACACAAGTCAAATGGCCAAGAGAAAGGGGTATATATGTGTATAATTTGGCTCGAATCAAACTCCACCACACTTAACCGTTTGCTTGACCCCAAGAAAACTTAGCTCATACCGATACCACTTTTTGGACCTCATAATGGTAAAAATGATAGATCGTAAGTAGCAAACATCTTTACTTCGAATAAAGCTATATTATATCCATCACCTTGACGCTTGGCAAGCGTGAGAGGTCAAACCCCAGGGGGATGGAGACTCGTTTTACAAATACATAAGAATAACAACTGATCTCGGTCGGTTTGCTTAGGTGGTCTTCCCTTATCTTCCCTACTAGCACTTTCATGTCAATTAGAGACAAGAAATTTAACCCCTGCCTCAATGTGAAACACAAACCAAAGTTAGGAACTTTTCGACTAGTGAAACCAGGGTTGCAAGATGTGTATGGAGGGACTCTAAAAAACGGGTTGAAAATGATGAACTCAATGGGGGTGCCCTAACATAAAAGAGGTCTCGAACTTTCGAGCCTCAACTTACAATGTCGCTGATAACACCCTTGATGGTGTTATTTATCCTCCATTTATTATGTGTTTTTATATCATTTTGACCATGATTAGATAATTATAATGTCATTTGAAGCTTAGAATACTTCTTTTTGTCATATCATGTCATTTTAGGTCGCATTTGATATTACAAGCGAAAAAGATAAGAAAATGGGGCTTATGTGTAGGAAAAAGGAACAACCACCATGTTAGCAGCCAAAGGAGCATGATTATCATCACTTGAATCCGTGCATGTTATCCCATCCTAAGCCATGTTTAACATAGGACGACATTGCTGTATAGTGGTAAACAAGGTCGTATTCTACTCGGGTCCTGGTACCGTAGCCTACTTGCCACCTTGTTGTTAATTAGGTAATCGGTTTTTGAGCTTTTGAGGGGAGGATATGAGGAAACACTAGTCTAGAGGTTGATCAAAACTAAAAGCAGGTACTTCGGGGAACTAATCCTCCCCTAGTTGAGGGATACTATGCATGTATAGATACTTAGGGATATCGAATGTGGTGAGTGAGCTCTTTTCCGTGGGCTTTCGTAGTTATCCACACGCCTCCCCTATACCCATGTTTTAGTCAACTCGGTCTAGGCTATCGTATCTTGGGCTTTAAGCTTATGGCTCATTTCAATGGACATTATCCATCGTCCACACCGAGGTTTCATCCCGGGTCTCATCTAAGAAGGCTACCTATAGCAGGAGTTCGGTCGCCTCGACCACTATAGACCCCCATTAACTCATCTAACCCAAACTCGCCAGATGACGCATACCCGTCTAACCCTAGAACTACATGCCCATCACGGTAGCATAAAATTGGCTAAGAGGGAAGATTGGGGCCAGTTGCCCATGCGTCATCATTTAGGAAAGAGTTACATTAAGAATCTACTAGACAAACACATTCATTCATTCAAACCCTAAAATATCCATACATACATAATAAACCCTAAAACAAGGGTTTGGGGTTTAGAACCCATAGTACCTTAGAGGACTACTCCATAAAGGAGGGAAGAAGATCCATGGTAGAAATAGAAGAAGACTTGAAGTTGGGGAAGATCCTCCTTGCTCCGAGCTCCTCCTTCTTTTCTCCTTCCTTCAGCTTCTCTCTCTTCTTTCTCTTTAGAACCAAAAATTTCACCTAAAATCATCTCTCTTAAGATGGGGAAAGGGGTCTTCTATTAATAGGCATTATGGACTCGGGGAAGTTCCTGGTCTGAGGCTGGGAGATCGCTGGCGAGATCTTCTGAGGATAGGCCGCGATCTCAAGATGACGTCTTCATGGCCTTCTAAAGGGGGAAGATTGCGGGCTAACTTCGCGGTCGCGATCCTCAAGTCATGGCCGCGATCTTCCTCGTTGGCAAAGTGAACGTTGGTCGTGATGCGACTAGGGAAACTCTCTGCTTCTCCAAGGCTCCTTCCATGCGAAGTTCGCGCCCTGGGCCTTCAAGATCGCGGTCACGATCTTTGGCTTATGGGCCACGATCTTCAGTGAGTCTTCACGAATGGAAATCCTAGCCGTGAACTTTGGCTTCTAGGCCACAATCTTTGATCGTTGCCCCTTTGCTACACTTGTGACCTTGTTTTGTATCTAATTTGCACATATTGACTAATACACCCTATAATCACATCAAAATCAAATAGTAATATAATATGAATGTATTTGACAATATTTAAACGCTTAAGCGTATGAATTGGCACAAAACATACCCTAGATGGAGGGTAAATAACACCGATTTTGGTGTTATCAAACTCCCACACACTTAGGCGTTTGCTTGTCCCCAAGCAAACCTACTTAAACCAAATGCAATATGATAGATGAATCAATGAGGCATGCATGCTAGTTATTCATTGCATAGATAAGAGTACACGGGGATGAATGAACGTTACTACCTTCCTACTATGCAAGAACAAACTCTCGTGTGAGGACCATATCTACTACCTTAGGCCGATCATTCAAAATGTGATCCGGGGGATACTCCGTTAACAAATGACTAATAGAACTATAAGCAGTGCTTTTATTCTTTCTTTTGGTCTAGGAATTGTCATTTTTCGATCTCCTTTTACTCTGTTCATGCACATTGCACCAAACTCTTGCAATTTTTTTCATTACATAATAGCATCTCTCTCTCATGACCAAGAGCGGATGAATCATAGCCTTCCCTTTCAAGGTCACATGTGGGGAAATTGATGGTCGGATTTATCTTAGCCCAAGCACCATGTCCCAACCGGCACTCCACATTGGGTTGCCACACATGTTGGGTACAAACGAAAGCTATGAGGTCTCATGAATCGCTAAAAGGTACCTTTGGTCCTTATCATACGATACCGTGAGGAGGAGAGGTGTTTGGGGGATGGTAGGTAGTAAGATATGTGTCGCAACCGTCTCTCCGGGGTCGTCGAGTCGCGTTTGCTTTTGTGGAGTCGCCATCGATCTTACTTGGAGTGGATCTGCGATTTAGAGATATAGGTTCAGGAGTACGGTTACGTGTGGGGAAGTTAAGCAACACCCCCACAACGCCCTAAATCGGTACTACTTAAGTTGATAAGTTTTATTAGTTGGGTGTATTTTAGTAATTATGTATTTTTAAAATCCCAATGGACCATTACTATATTGCTATTTCATTAGTTGTAATTTAACTAAACGTCCATTGACGTATTGGTTTATGATTAGGTATTTTTAGGGCCTTACTAGACCACTAAAGAATTTAAATCGTATTAGTTGTAATTTAACAATACGCCCACTGACGTAAAAATTGAAGATAAAATTGATTATTTAGTTGGACTCAAACTGATAATCGGCTTTAATATATCTGATTCTTGGACTTTATGTGATTATCACATTGAATGTTTAAGCCGATTGGTGCTATTTTAGGGCTCGCTAACCCGAGAATGGTTGAAAAACCATTACTGCCGAGTACCATGAGTTTGATGTATTACAGGTGGAGAAAGCACGAAAAAGGAGCGAGTGCACAAGCAATAAATCGGGCTCGAATTACTGGAGGACTATTCACTTGGGCTCAAGGTCCAAAGGAATGGGTTAGAAGAATCTATGGGCCGAGGCTCATTTTCTTCTTTGTCTCCTGTTGCTGGGCGGTAAATTGAAAACATGGATGGGCAAAAGATTTGGGCGGCCATTTTGGGCCTAGGGAGAAGGCTGGGCGGAAGGCTTGAGGGGAATTAATTTTTGACGTGGAGACGGAATAGAAAAGAAGGCAGGAGAAGGCTTGGGGGAGAAAGCAATTCTCGGGTGGGCAATTAATTTTGGAACAGGGAACTTTATTCTTGGGCCAGGAGAGTTTTGGGGGGCCATTATTTTGAAAAGGGGACACGAGAGGCAACTTGGATTTTTGGGTTTTTTTTGGCGGACGGAATCTCTTTGAATAAAAAAGAAAGAAAGGCTGCGCATGAAAAAATTCTGGACGAAGGGGATTCCTTTGGGCGAGAATTCTGAGAAAAGAATAGTCGGAGGTGGCAGAATTTTGGGACGAAAGAAAAGAAAGCAGCACAGCGCAGCGCAGCTTTGGCGAGCAGGCGATTGGCAATTGGCGATAAGTTTTTCCAAGGCTTGAGCTGAGTTCAACGAGAGCGATTAGTTGGTTGGATTTTCTAAACCGAATTAGTTGTTTCTTGTTGATTTAGAACATGATGAACAAAACCCTATCGTTTTATCTTAATTTCGTCATGAACTAAACCCCAATTTCTGGGGGAAACACCATAGGATGTAGCTATTTCTAGATTTGATGGATTGATTCATATCTCTTTTCTTCCAATCTCTATTACATGGAATTGCTTAATGCTTTGTGTTGACTGGCCACCAATACATCGATTTGTAGTTAATTAGGTTATTATTGACAGTGAAACCCTATTAACCGAACCTATTTCATGTGACATAGTAACTTATCGAAGCGACAGTGGATTAAATAAGGTACTATGCGGTCTTAAATAGGATATCGATCTTCAGGCTAGATAATTAAATCATTGAGCTACGATAGTAGGATTTGATTTAATTGTTTAGTACGTAGTAATTCCCGACAGGGATAGCTAGCACATTCGTGATATCCTGGCTGTTGAGAGTTGGATTAAATTGATTGGAATATGTGAATTAATCTGGATAGGATAGGTAGTGAATACCGGTGTTTCTCCCAGGGCTTTCTCCATTGAATTTCTCCCGACCATTTTACTTTGCTTAATTAGTTTATTTTGCTTTTAGATAATTAGTCTGATTAAACCATTTTCACCTATAGTTTGCTCTATAAATTGATAGAATAAAAGGTTGTACCAGTCCCTGAGAGACGATACCCAGACTTTCCGGTTTTACTACGAGATAGGAAATTGGCATATACGCTTTTGCCCTATAAAGTTTTTGGTGCCGTTGCCGGGGACTGCCATACCTTATTTTTATTGATTTTTGTGAGTGAACTATTTTGATCTGGGTGTTAGTGTGCAGAAGAATTTTTAGGTTTATCCTCCTCGTGCATGCCTAGGAGGACGACCGGCGATTTACTGCCACTAGATTCGGAGATCGAGAAGACCTGCCGACAGAACAGGAAGCAGGTCAAGTTAGGGAAGCAGCCTACCACATCCACAACTCCTAGGCCTTCCCTAACCCATAGTCGTCGACAGAGAGGACAGGCTTCATCACCTGTCATCCCTACACCACCCACACCACCACTTCGCATCATCGAGCCTGTTATCATGGGAGAACAGGATCGTTCGATCAGGGCTCGCTTGAATCGAAGGACTGGAGCCCGAGCTTCATGTGTTGTCATTCCGGCTGGGGATGCAAACATGGAGATTACCCCAGCCTTCATCAATATGATCACTAATGGGTACACCTTATCCGGGGCTAGCAGTGAGGATCCTCATGAGCATCTTCGCTGGTTCGCGAGCATTTGTGATACTATGAAGAGCCCGACCGTGTCTGATGATGCAATCCGTCTTCGGATGTTCTCATTTTCTCTGCTAGGGAATGCATCACACTGGTTCCAAAACTTAACACCCCGTTCCATCACGACATGGGGTCAGCTTGAGAAGGTATTTCTGGATAAATACTTCCCACCTGCCTTGGCAATGAAGAGGCAAGAAGAGATTGTTACTTTTAAGCAGGCTGATGATGAGAGTCTGACTGAGGCATGGGAGCGCTACAAGGGGCTGTTGATGAGATGCCCAAGCCATGGTCTTGAAGATTGGAACGTGATCATTATTTTCTTCAATGGAATCAGAAGGGAGTTTCGGGATGCCCTGAATAATGCTTCTCAAAATGGTTTCACAAGCATGGAGGCACCAGCAGCATATGATCTGGTGGAGAAGATTTGTTCAGAAGCCACTGAATGGGGTAGTGAAACCGGTATTCGAAGGAGAGGAGACTTGCATCAGATTGACAGAGTTGCAAGTTTAGAAGCAAAGATTGATGCTAAGTTGGATTCCAAGTTCGATGCACTCGAACGAAGGCTGGCCAAGATTGCTTTGGGTAGACAAGAGGAGGTTGCTTCATGTGAACTTTGTGAGGGTCCTCATCATAGGGATATGTGTCCGCTGGGAGCTGCTCAGTTGGAAGATGTTCAGTATATCAATAATCCGCGAAGTCAAGGCCAGGGTGGTATGTATTCAAATACATATAACCCTCAATGGAGACATCACCCCAATATGTCATGGTCAAACAATAATCCAGCTGGTGTTCGAAACATCCCACCTCCTGGTTTTCAACAACAGCAGCCTCAACCAGAGAAGAAGCCCCAGCTGGAGGAGTTGATTTTGGCTCATATGCAGAAAATAGATAATAATTTCAAGGGCCTGGATCAATTTGTCACTCAACAGCTAGCCATCAACAATAATTTACAATCGTCTATGCTAGCTATGGAGAGGCAGATGGGACAGATGGCTCAAACTTTGGCAGATATGCAAGGCAGGATTCCTGGGACATAACCATCAAATACTGAGAGGAATCCGAAGGATGCCATGGTTGTAGCAGTGGCATTGAAGAGTGGAAAGGCCATGGAAGACCCTAGCAGCTCGAAAAAGGCACCAGAGGCAGAAGAGGAAGCACCGGGAGAAAGATCTTGTGCAGAAAATGAAGAATCAGCCTTGCACAGGCAAAATGAAAGCAGTTTCCCTGTGCAAAAAAGCATGCTGCCCGTGTACCTCAAAAAGTGGAAAAATTGAAGAATGAAGAGTTTAAAGCCTTATGAACCTCCCGCACCATTCCCTCAAAGGTTAATGAAGCCCATGGAAGACCCAAACTTCAAGAAATTTGTGAATATCTTCAAGCAACTTCATATCAACATACCGTTGGCGGAGGCACTTGAACAGATGCCTACATATGCTAAATTCTTAAGGGAGTTGCTGACGAAGAAGCGCAAATGGGCTGATCTGGAGAAGGTAACCCTTACTTCTGAATGTAGTGTTGTGATTCAGAATAAATTACCAGAAAAGAGGGATGATCCGGGCAGCTTCATCATTCCATGTGTCATTGGAGATACAGAATTCAATAAATCACTTTGTGATCTTGGAGCGGGAATTAATTTGATGCCATACTCAGTCTACAAGAAATTGGGATTGGGAGATGTTCTTAAGCCTACTCGGATCACACTCCAATTGACTGATCGATCAGTAAAAATCCCAAAGGGAGTGGTGGAGAATGTATTGGTGAAGGTGGGGAAGTTTATTCTCCCTACAGATTTTGTGATTCTGGAGATGGAAGAAGATCAGGGAGTGCCTCTAATTCTCGGCAGACCTTTTCTAGCAACTGGTGATGCACTCATCGATGTTGGAAGAGGCAAGTTGACATTCCGAGTAGGTAAGGAGGAAGAAATTTTTAATGTCTTTCAAGTTGATCATAATCACGATGCAATTGATGACCTTGAAAGTGGAGCTCGAGAAAGGAAAAATTCCTCTTCTTGTGATAGTGGATCGGCTGAAGTATCACATGCCCTAGCAACTCAAAGTCTGAAATCAAAGCAAGGGCAGAAATCCTTGCCAGATCACCTCAAGTATAGATATTTGGGTAAGGATTTCAATCTTCCTGTCATTATTCCTTCTTCACTAACATTGAAACAGGAAGAGTACTTGCTTGAGGCACTGCAATACCACCTACGCCTCACTAAAGGGTCTAACATGCCAGCTAAGAAGGTCATACCCAATTTTCGCACACCTGGCCCTGCAGAGGTGACTCATATGCTGGATGGAGGTTATGTGTTCTATCATTGCTCGGGAGGGTATTCTGGATACCTTTCCATACCCATTGGTTGAAAGCTCCATGAACGTCAGGCTGAGGACGTTAAACAAGCGCTTCTTGGGAGGCAACCCAAGGTAAGTTTTCTTTTCTTTATTTTTCTTTTTAGTTGTGTCAAACCCGTGCATGTTTAGATTAGGAGTTGAACATTAGGGACAATGTTCCATCCTGAGTGTGGGGTGGCGAGTCTTAGTGTTTGTTTGTCCCTTTTGTCATGTGGTCGGTAAAAAAAAACAAAAAAAAAATTTTTTGCCATTAGGTTGAGCACAGCCAAACTGCATGCAGTTTGCCTGTGTAAAAAGCATGATGCCTGTGCAAAGTTAATGGCTAAAAAACACCTAAAAATGAAAAAAAAAATGAAAAACAAAACCTTGTACTCTTGTGGTAACATGATGTAAATGACTGTGATGCGTGTGAAATGAGTTTGTGCTTGAATGAAATCATCGAAATCACTCCACTAGTGTTGAATTGCAAAGTTCTTCACAATGAGCTTGAATGTTTTGACTGACTTGATATGCTTTGAATGAGCAAACTCTTTTAGCAACATTCTCTTTTGTGAGGATAGTGTAATGACTTTTGGTGAAGCAGTTAGGTGGAGAACATTGACCATTCGACATGTTTGGATACCGTGCTTACTTGCATCAATTGTGAGCTTTTGATTTTGCAATGAGTCTCTCTGTTTTGAATGTTTTATGATGGGGTGAACTGTATCTTTATAAATGAGAAAACACTACCTGACAAGTAAAATATAAGAAAGTTGCCATAACAATTAAAATGTGGGTAAAATACCAAAATCGTGTGAGGCAATCACTCATTGCACATGGAGATGAGGAAAGATTCAATTGAGAATCGGTTCGCGACCGTACGATGTTGCTTATCAAGTACGATCCCCAATTGTGTGAAGTGCCATTTGAGGATGCAATGACCTTCCACACGGACCGAGGAAAAGGAGTTAAAAGAAGCCCTTATGCGAGTGCTAAGAAGCAGAAATTGCTCTTGCTCGGTCACCGGTAGTAAGAAACAAATCCCACTTGTACTTAATACGACCTCTCGGCAAGCAAAAGCAGAAAGAGAGAAAAGAAAGAGAGAAAGCCTCTCCTTGTCATAAAAGGTAGTGATGTGCTTAAAGTTAAAATCATGTTTGCGAAAGGCTTCCCCCATTAGTTTTTGAGACTCATGCTTAATTAATTGCTTATGATTGGTGTGAGTAAGCCAGACTGTCCTCACGAGATATGCACCTCACTGATGTGGTTAGATTCTCCTAATAATTGCTGCACCATAAGTTGTTAATCATCCGCTACCAACGATCGAAATTGAGTGCTGCTATTTGAGTTTTTGGTGGATTTGAGTCAGTCAATGGTAATGGTTGCAAAGAACTTGAGTGTGGGGTGAAAGGTATGATCATTAAAGCACAACTTGTTCTTGAGAAAGAAACTACTGATTACAATAAGAGTACAAGGAAAATTTTTGTTTTGTTTTGAGTGTTTGATTAGTGAGTCTGTGGTGTGTCATTGTTATGGTTGGTTATGTGTTTGTGTCATTTGAGTCGTTGCTTAGGGACAAGCAACAATTGAGTGTGGGGTCATGATAATCGGCTTTAATATATCTGATTCTTGGACTTTATGTGATTATCCCATTGAATGTTTAAGCCGATTGGTGCTATTTTAGGGCTCGCTAACCCGAGAATGGTTGAAAAATCATTACTGCCGAGTACCATGAGTTTGAGGTATTACTGGTGGAGAAAGCACAAAAAAGGAGCGAGTGCACAAGCAATAAATCGGGCTCGAATTACTGGAGGACTATTCACTTGGGCTCAAGGTCCAAAGAAATGGGTTAGAAGAATCTATGGGTCGAGGCTCATTTTCTTCTTTGTCTCCTGTTGCTGGGCAGTAAATTGAAAACATGGATGGGCAAAAGATTTGGGCGGCCATTTTGGGCCCAGGGAGAAGGCTGGGCGGAAGGCTTGAGGGGAATTAATTTTTGACGTGGAGACGGAATAGAAAAGAAGGCAGGAGAAGGCTTGGGGGAGAAAGCAATTCTCGGGTGGGCAATTAATTTTGGAACAGGGAACTTTATTCTTGGGCCAGGAGAGTTTTGGGGGGTCATTATTTTGAAAAGGGGACACGAGAGGCAACTTGGGTTTTTGGGTTTTTTTGGCGGACGGAATCTCTTTGAATAAAAAAGAAAGAAAGGCTGCGTAGTGAAAAAATTCTGGACGAGGGGGATTCCTTTGGGCGAGAATTCTGAGAAAAGAATAGTCGGAGGCGGCAGAATTTTGGGACGAAAGAAAAGAAAGCAGCACAGCGCAGCGCAGCTTTGGCGAGCAGGCGATTGGCAATTGGCGATAAGTTTTCCAAGGCTTGAGCTGAGTTCAACGAGAGCGATTAGTTGGTTGGATTTTCTAAACCGAATTAGTTGTTTCTTGTTGATTTAGAACATGATGAACAAACCCCTATCGTTTTATCTTAATTTCGTCATGAACTAAACCCCAATTTCTGGGGGAAACACCATAGGATGTAGCTATTTCTAGATTTGATGGATTGATTCATATCTCTTTTCTTCCAATCTCTATTACATGGAATTGCTTAATGCTTTGTGTTGACTGGCCACCAATACATCGATTTGTAGTTAATTAGGTTATTAGCGACAGTGAAATCCTATTAACCGAACCTATTTCATGTGACATAGTAACTTATGGAAGCGATAGTGGATTAAATAAGGTACTATGCGGTCTTAAATAGGATATCGATCTTCAGGCTAGATAATTAAATCATTTAGCTACGACAGTAGGATTTGATTTAATTGTTTAGTACGTAGTAATTCCTGACAGGGATAGCTAGCACATTCGTGATATCCTGGCTGTAGAGAGTTGGATTAAATTGATTGGAATATGTGAATTAATCTGGATAGGATAGGTAGTGAATCCCGGTGTTTCTCCCAGGGCTTTCTCCATTGAATTTCTCCCGACCATTTTACTTTGCTTAATTAGTTTATTTTGCTTTTAGATAATTAGTCTGATTAAACCATTTTCACTTATAGTTTGCCCTATAAATTGATAGAATAAAAGGTTGTACCAGTCCCTGAGAGACGATACCCGGACTTTCCGGTTTTACTACGAGATAGGAAATTGGCATATAGGCTTTTGCCCTATAACAAACCTTATCGGTTGCCTACGTACCCGTAACACGGGATCAAAGTCCACGTAGTTCGTTTGGTAATTTTGGTGTTTTAGTTATAACCACGCTCCACTGATTGTGATTATCAAATAAATGTTTTTTATTAGAGAAATATATAAAGCGAATAATATGCTTAATTTTGAAACATAAAAAAGGGTTTTGCGTATTTGAGAATATGGGATCGACTTAACTTATAGCTTATTTCGTATTCAAAATTTCATATCAAGGAAAAATAAAATAAAGATATAATCACGGATAAATCGTTTCTACGAATGATGGTCGGCTAGCCCACTGGCTAAACCGTCATTTGTAGGTTGTGTTCGTAATTGAGGACACGTTTTCGAAACTCCCTCCAAAAGTTTTTATAATTTTAGGGCAGAGTAAGGTGGGGTAATTTTGTAATAACGCAAAAACACGGTTGCAGGGATGATAGATATAGTGAAACCCTAAGGGCATTTTTGTTTTGATAATTGATGAAGTATATAAACGTCTTCTTAAGACGAAATGAAACCCTAGTGGCATTATACCCTAGCGGCGACCGCCTCTCCTCTTTCCTCTCTCGTACAAACGCTCTCCCCTCTCTCTCTCGTTCCATCTACACACAAAGAGAAAGAAAACGAAAACGTCTTCTTTCCTTTCAACAATAACTGAACCCATACCCTCTCTTCAAAGTTCGTTGTTCCCTTCTTCTCCTTTCCTTCTCTCGGCTAGCATAGGAGACCGCTATATTCAAGCTAAATCAACCGGGAGGATTTTGATCTAGGTTGGATCGAGACATGCATGGTCTTTTCGATTCATTTTAAGTGATCTTGAGGAGTTTTGGTTTCTGATATTTTGTTTGTTTTTTTTCTGTGGGTTTTGCTTTCGGACGAGGAGGAGCAGGGAAAGGAAGGATCCGCTGGCGATGGAAGGTTGCTTCGTTGATGATGGCTAGATCTAGGTAAGGTTTTGCTTTATGGGTAGGGTTTTCTTTTGATGTTCAAGTCTAGAAATGTGATTTAGTTTTTTTTTGGTTTGGTTTTGTGTGAGGAGAGAAGGAGCAGCGGACGGTAGGATCTCTTCTGGCAAAGGTGCTTCGGCAATGCTTTGGAGAGGACGGTAACCTTACAACTAAGGTAAGTGACGATTGAGAGCTTGCATGTTTTCCTAGGTTTGATTTTGCTCTTATTTATTTATGTTACGATTCTGATTTAGGGTTTCATTTTGGTTTCTGGTTTTTCGTTTTCGGTGGCAAGGACGAGCAAACGACAGAAGATGGAGAAGATCTACGGCGGAAGCAGGTGGGATTTGTTTCGTCAATGTTTAATTTTTCTGTTGGATTATTTATCTTTTCAATTGATTGGGACCTCTACTTTTGTTTTGACGCAATTTTGGAAATGGACAGACCTGGGTAAGGTTCCTAAACCCAGCTTAGTATGGTTTGGGAGATCGAACCAAGTAAAAGAAAAGAAATATGATTCATGGATTTTAGAACAGCTGGCAGATCTGGGTTTTGAATAAAATTGGTTATGTATGAGTTTGAATGTTTTTTAAATGGTGGACTTTTATGAACTTGGCTTAGTATTTTTAGGGAGATTGAAATAATTAAAAGATGATATTGTTGTAGGTTTTTAGTTTGTTTATAGATCTGAGTTGATGGAAAATTGGTTTTGCTGACTTTGACTTGCTAATCTGCGATTGTCATTATCTGCGAATCTGGGTGTTTTACATGAAGATTGTTTGTAATGAACCTGGAATGATTTACGGATATGAGTTTTGGTAAAAAAAAATCATAAAGAAAACACAATTAGTTTTTTGTTCAAATAGGCTAGCTCACTAATTATCACAACCACTGCTTGTGATTTAATTAGATTGGGATTCTTGATTGATTGATAAATTGGTAAGGGTTGGTGAATCAGAAATTCTAGTATGGTATGGTGAACTTTGTTGGATCTGGATCTACAAAGGATTCCTCTAGAAAGATTTTAACCTATTTCTGCTATACTTTTCTGATTTAGGATGGTTATGTTTGGATTCGATTTTGGGGTTTGTAATTCTGAAACCTTGTTTTGGTAAGCTCTCTATATATAGATCTATAGTTGAACATCGGTGGAATTCTTAAAAACTGAAAACAAGTAAACTAAAAAAACCTATTAACTAATATAGCAAGTATATCGACAATATAGCACAAAGTGAAATTTCATTGAGTAAATAGTAGATTTACAAGGCCAACCTGATAGGGTTCTCGGCTGAGAATGCCCTCTTTCTGCTTCTATCTTACAGACCTCCGGACTGAACCTTTTGTCTAAATGAAGTGAAAAGATGGTGTTTCTCCAAATTGAGAATTTATATTTCTGTTGCGTTTCTTCCAACAACAAAAAAAAAGACCCCCTCTTAACAAAGAGATCAAAGAGCTAATTTATAGCAAAAGTACCTGCCATGTGTCACACTATCATTTGTCGTTGCTGAGGCTAAAATTGTCGTGGTTCTTTCTGATTGGTCAAATTTTGAGGCTGTGTCTTGAGCCTCCACCTACAAAGTCAGTTTTGACTGGTCAGGCTGAGTGTGGGCTGAGCAGAGTTTGGATAAGGTTGGGACGACTCTGCTAGTAGGCTTGTGGGCCGATTTGGAAATCGCCTGGGCTTGAAACGGGCCGAGTTTGGATGATGATAGGCTAAATTGGTCTTGCGAACTTGGGAGCCAATCTTGAATTCGCCTGGGCTCTAAATGGGCCGAATCTGGGCTTGACATGTCTTGAACTTGGACTGATTGTCTGATTTTCTTCTTTGTTTTGCAGGCTACTGGTGTGGACCTCAAAGTGATGGGTTTTCTTGATTTTTCAGATTGTAGATAGGAAATTTGAACCATTGTATTATGTGTTGTAATCATACACGTGTTCAAATTTTCTAATGGTATCATGTACCTGTAAGGAACTCCGAATTTGTTAAAGACGAATCGTCTAATGCAATTTGATCGTTATAATTCTTGAATCGACAACCAATAACCGGAAAAAATGTGGTGTCTACAAGATGATCGAGATGCAATAAAGCTATCTGAACCCCAAACACATCCTCGATGGGCACTCCGAGCTAAGGGAACAATCCTTTGACGGTTGATCTCAATTCTTTGCCCGGTTGCCACTCGCGTGAGAACCCCTTTTCTATTTTTAAGCACAAATTGAAAAAGTTTCTAATTCAAATAATAGGAGAGAATCCCGCACACATTGCCTTCCTAAGATAGCAAATACTATCAAGTTACACTAGAGGAGGAAAGTAGTAAAATCCCTCACGTACCGATACTCAAACCATGCAATTATCACCTAAGATGCACAACACATCGATCAATCTAGTCAAATCAAAGCACATCGAGTAGGTAATTGCAAGGACAAGGTGTTTTGGAACCCTCAAATTTGAAAAAAAAAATTGGGTGTGCATTCAAGGTTCCGAAAACACTAATACTTCACCATTAATCACCACAACAAAGGCATGATCACTAGCATACACTCCCATAAAGCATTCATCAATGTCTTACATTCACGAACAAGAGAGGATTCTAGCAATAAACGGTTGCACCAATCAAGATAAAAATTCAAACATGCCCAAACATCCCCATCCCACACTTGAGCAACACATTGTCCTCGATGTGGGAGTTCGCCAAGAAAATATCATGAATGTTACCATAGGTCGGGTTGTGGGTTGGTGAAGGTTCACAAGTGAAGTCTTTATCTTCCTAGTGGTTTTCACAATGATAAAGCGCATAAGATAGAGAGGGAGACGAATAGGATTTTCAGGTATGATAATTGTATATAATAAGTACTACTACTAGCGATAGAATATTTAAGGTACGAAAGGTAAAATAAAAATAAAGTGATAATTAAACATTGTTTAAATATAAATAAAGAAAAGCAAAGAAAAAGAAAAGATAGAACTTTGGCCCTGGATGCCTAAAAATCATCCATCCTTAGAGTTTCCTTCTTCTTCATCGTGGCAAAATGCGGAAGGGGAGGAGCGGTTGAATGTGGCCGGTACATCTTCGATCAGAATGTTCATCTTCGCCATGACCGCGTGGATGCACGCTATAATGTGAAGTCGTGCTTCCTTATCCCTTGTTGGTTGTGAAGGATGGTATCTATCATAGCCTCAATTCTATAATCTCTTGCATTGTTGCTCGGTGGGTGAACTGGTTAAAAAGTGGGAATAGACATCTCTCATCCTTCATGCAAGCTCTCCTCTTGGTCTTCCTCGGTTGTCAATCCTCTTCGGTCCCTTGCTCTCCTAGCTTCCGGAAGACATAATACGGTTCCTCCCACGCCCAATGTATTGGTGGCTGGGAATGGAAATCCCCGCACACCCAAAATGCCATCATTGCTCATGTGTAGCACATTAAGTTTTGACTTGAAGACATCAATGAATATGGGAATGGTCCTTCGATCCCATCGAAATTGCACAGCTCCAAAGTCAACTTGGAAATATTAAGAAAGTCAGGTGATGTACACTCCTCCGTGGTGTACGGCAAGTCGGCGATCTGTCCCGTAACGCTTGAAAATAGATAACATTGGTACGATGAGATGGAGAGATTGAGAGAGGCGCATGCTATGAAATAGGGTGATGTCTCGCGCGGTGAGATTTGCCTTGTTCCGATACTTTCTTCCCATGGACCTAGCAATCACGTGGTGGATGAGTCGCCACTCTAGTTGCACCTCACTGGCTTTTGATAGTCTCACATCCCATTGTCGACTCTCGGGTTTTTTGACTTCAGACTCATAGAAGGCCTTGAAACAAGGGAAGTCGGATTCCCTTGTCAAGGTGGCGAAATCATTAGGTGAATCAATGAAGCCCACCGGGTAGATGTCCATTTTCTTTATTATATATATTATCATGAAACGTCAGCCTACTCTGTCCTCTTATCAACTTTCTTTCTTTTCTCCCTTTCTTCATTGTCTCCAAATTACGACCCTTCACCTGCTCCTCTATTCTCAAATAAAACGAAGCCTTCATCTCTTCATTCCTCTCTCAAAAAGATTGTCGCTAGATGCCTCCTCTGGCGATGACCAGCGACACTGGTAGAGAGATTGAGAGTGCAACAATTGGCGAGATTCGGCGACGATGCCAGAGAGATTGAGAGGCAAGGGGCAGAGAGATCGAGAGGAGATGAACAAAGAGATCGAGAGGCAAGGGGCAGAGAGATCGAGAGACGATGGGCGGAGAGATCGATAGGCGATGGACGGAAAGATCAACAAGCGACGATGTGACTATTGGCTAGAAAACCCTAGCTGCTTGCAGACCCCTTCTCCTACCGTTTCTCACTGAAAAATTGAAACCCAGATCTAGTCTTCCTCTCCGTATCGGCTATAACGGTCGATCTGTTTCTCTTCTATTTGTTCCAATTCTATGTCTCTCCTCTCAATCTGCTCATGATTCTCTATCTCTTCTAGAATAGCAATGACACGGCGAGATAGATGCAAGAGGGGAAAGTGGCGAGATTGATTTAAGATTTTCTTATTCTTTTCTATTTTGTTTACTGATTCTGTCTTTTTTTTGCAGGTTTTGGATTGAAGAAGCCTTGGGTACTATTCTTCAAACTGATGATTAGGATTAGGGTTTTAAATGGCCAATTTGGAGTTTGGTAGTGGATCTAAAACTGGGGATTGGTAGTTTTGTAAATCTTGACCGAATACAATATCTTGGTTTTGAAGAGGTGACATTTAGATCTGGATCAAAAAATAAATTGTGAATATCTTAAAAAGTCTTCAATAAAATTAAATTGTGAACTATACTAAATCAAATCCGAAAATAATAAATTAAACGGAAAAAATATAAATTACTCCAATAAAAGTCTTCGTCGCTGAACCTAGTTACCTTTTATGACAACCGTAATGACAAAATATATCGTCATAACGTCTCTGTTTGTCACAATAGACTACCCAAAACCTCAGCTATACTGAAAGCAAATGTGACAACCTTATTTTAAAATTTTGTCACATTTGACCTATCTTGACGACAATAAAATGAAAAACCTTTGTGACAACACCTTTTGTCATATTATACCTAATATGACAAAATGAGTACCTAATACGATCAAATTTCCTCGTCATAATAGACCGATTTTTTTGTAGTGCGAGTTGAAACTGAATTTTATCCTCAAGGTTGGTGGCACTCCTCATGTCTCGAATAGTGAGAGTACTAATAAACTCAAGAACAAGAACCCGATATATGTGTTCTTGAATAGAGAGAAACTTGAGCCATTCCAATTTCTGTACTTTAGAGCGGATTGCATCTTCAATTCCAAGTTGGGCCAGAAGAATCCAATCGAGACAAGTACTTTCGCCTAAGGGTAGCCCTTGAAGCCACATAAGTTTTCTCTTGAATTGCTCGGGTACATGCTGTAAAAAGTAATGAGTGATATGTTCTAAGCCGCCTTCTTCATATTGAGGAACTACCCTTGATTGATGTTCAAGTTGTGATGGTGGATGAGTTTCTTCTACAACCACTTCCTTTGACTTGGACTTCCTTGTTTTCTTCTTTTGACCTTGGCGAGGATGAGATGTTCAAGAGGAAGAGCTCTCACCATGAGTCATGCCTTTAGTCTTGTATATTATCCTTCAAAACAAGTGGTATACATATGCATAAATCATCAATCCAACATCAAACATTAATCGGGTAGAATACAATAGGGTATCATGAAATTTCCAAATTTCCCCCACACTTGAATGTGACTAAGAACTTGGCAAAAGAGGGAAATTGGATAGAGAAATATCTCCAAAATAGTAAGAAGGATATCCCCAAATTTATGTAGAAACAATCAATGATCAACACCCCATGCAATGAAAATTTATGCTTAATCCAAAGCAATGCAAATATGAACTCTATGTGGTTGGGGACTTTTCACAAACACTTGGTGGGTGCTAGTTGAAGATGACATAAATGCATGGGCACAACCCACCAAGGCATCAAAAGTGACATAGAAGGTTCACTGAAGAAAAGAGGAGCAATCTCATGCCATCAACATGTCATTCCAAGTAGAAAATGGTCATTAAAGACTAAGCAATCAACACATGTTGGACAAGATAAGGCAATTAAATAGAGTTAAACAAGGAAAGTGTACGTTAGCTTGCTAGGGGACATGGTGGGAATCCAAAATCAATAGAAAATCCTTCTCAAAATTTGTTGAAAGTTGATATTAAAGAAGGTAAGTTCAAAAAGTCAAGAGAGTATGAGAGTAATGGTATATAGATATAGAGAATGGTGAAAAAGTGAATGCACTTAGATCTAATATGCTTAAATAGGGAAGGGAAAGATCGCGGGCTGGGCACCCAATATCGCGGTCGCGATATTTGCCCTTTCAATGAATGCACTTAGATCTAATATGCTTAAATAGGGATGCGAAAGATCGCGGGCTGGGCACCCAATATCGCGGTCGCGATATTTGCCCTGTCAACCGCGATCTCGGCTTTGTTCAGGATAACTCATTTTCTCCGCGTCTCTTAGTTCAAGCATTCATCGAAACATTCAATCCAGCATCCAACAAAATGCTAAGTCTAATCAATCATTCTCAATGCATCTCTAATGTACTAACTAAGCTACTATTTAATTAAAAGGAAAAGGAAAGGGAAAAGATACGCAAACCAAAGTGTTGGGTTGCCTCCCAACAAGCGCGTCTTTAAAAGTCTTTTCACCGGACTTGACTCCTTAAGATCAAATGGAGAGTCCTCCATTCTTCACCGATGACCCTTCATAAAAGTCATACTTATGGTGAAGTCCAAGGTGAAGACCATGGAGTCTCTCGGTGCCTCGTCCGGTGCCTGAGATAGAAAGGATCCAATTGAGAATTGATTTGCAAGATGGTGAGGGTGAGGCTCCTTGATAGAGATGTCATTATCCATGAATGGCTTATACCATTCCCCGAACTCTTCATTTTTTAGAATAGGAGCTAAATCGCCCTTAACAAATTTGTTTACTTTCTTAGGATGTCTCTCTTCAAAGATAAACCTTCGGAGCTTTCTTCCATGATCATCGGAAAGATGAGAAACCTTGAACAACTCTTGGGTTTGCATTTTGCAAGAAGATTTCTCTTTGCCCAGTTTATTCATATTTTTGCAAGAACCACTCCCTCCTTCAACTTGAGCATCATGGGGGTCAACATGGGATTGGAGACCATATTGAACCATTCAATCTTGGGACTTGAAGGTGGTGTGGTAGGAGATGTAACCGACTCAAAATCCATCTTGACATAGCCCCATTTGTAATACTTGTGGAAATTTGGGATTGGAGTCATCTTATAGCTTATCTCCTCTTCACCAAACCTTAATGTGATCTTGCTTCAACTTACATCAATGATAGTCCATGTCGTAGCTAGAAATAGTCGGCCTAGGATAATCTATGCATCATATCCCTCCGTGTCTAGAACCACGAAGTCCATCGGATAGAAAAATGAGAACACTTTACCAAGATATTCTCTATGATTCCTATTGGCTTGACTCCATACACGCATAAGAAAATGACACATCACATAAGAGTAGTTTCCTTATCACATAACATGACATTATAACCAGTACCATAGTAGCACATAATAGATGATATAAGCATCATATGGTTAAGGCATCAAACAATTAAAACATTTGAATGGTATAAGCATGACTAAAACATCTAATGATATAGGTGTCAAATGATAATGACATATAATGAAAAAGCATCTTATTAAAATCATAGAAAGACGATCCATAAAACATTAATAGAATTCACATCCTTAATAACGAAGTGATACATAAGAGAGAAGGATGATACCACAATCGTCGTCTCCTTAACTGAATCCTCCTATGAATGCTATTTTGATTTCCACTCGAGCTGAGTGGGCCATTGCTTGAGTTTGTGCAAAGTACGTTTGTAAGTTTTGCAGTCTCTCTAATCCTATAGTTTGACCCTCTATTTATAGTGTATGGAAGAAGGGAGTTTTATGAATTTTCCTCCTAAAACTCGACCAAAGGTGTCCTGATACTACTAGGACTAGGAATTCTTGACTTTGGGACAAAAAGTAATATTCCTATATCTTCCATGGGCTTGGACCAACGCTGATTGGTGACCAAATTTAAACCGTTTATTAATTTTAATAACAAAAAATTTAATATATATTTTTAGTGACAAAAGTTTGGTAAAACCCAATGTTGTCAGAACCGGACCGGGCAGCAACCCGGATTAACGAGAAGTTTAAGGTTTATCGGACAACCGGTAATTAACCGGTATAAAACCGTTTATAAAACCGGTAACATATAAAATTTTCAAATTAAATAATTATGAATTTTTTGTACATATGAAAATTAGTACTAGTTTTGAAATTGAGAATTCTATACTTGATATACATATTCAATAAAATAATTCCATATTAAAAATTTAATCATAGTACTTTTAATTTATAAATAAATGAGAGTATCTTAAGACATAAACCAACTTCATAAGTACTTGACAAACCATAACAAAATCATCAACGTTCAACTATTAAACGAAAAAGTAAAGCCCAAAAAACACCAATCCTGAAAACTGGGAAACAAACTAAAAAGACTAAGTTTATTACTTAAAGTTTAAAGTAAACAAAAAGAATCTAAAAGAGTGACTTGTCAAATCCCAAACCCTCAAAGTTACCATCATCATCACCACCACCACCAGTACCATCATCATCATCGTCATTCTCATCATCTGCCTCATTATCAGTAACTGACAAGTCTTCATTTTCCACTTCATCATCATCTATTAAGCAAAAGAAATATATTAATATAAGAAATTGCAAAGTACATCCATCTTATAAATAAGAATAGTTTCATGGAAAGATTGCCAACCTTCAATACGCCTACGTTTTCTACTCGTCGCTCCACTCTCTTCAGTTAAGTGATTATCATCAAAATCATACTCCTCATTAAGCTCTTTAAGAGCTTGCTCTAACTCATCATAGTTAAGCTCTGGAGTTGGATTCTCTTCAACAGTATCCAAAACCCAAAAGTCTGTGCTACTAATCCAAGCATAATCAAAGGGATCACCCTTCATCCTCCTGTCTTTGTAATATCCCCTTATAAAAATAGAAATAAATCATGTTAATTCCCATACATATAATTAAACATCTGCACATTTATAATATAGAACTAAATTATAATTAGTAATCACATACCTGTCCTTCAGTTTCAAATTGTAATTCACATAGACAAGATCACACAATCTACTGTGCTCAAGTTTGTTCCTCTTCTTAGTATGGATGCGCTCAAATACACTCCAATTTCGTTCACATCCAGAAGAAGAAGCTGTTTGACTGAGGAGTCGAAGTGCTATCTTTTTCAACAATAGTGCACTATCTCCAAATGTATTCCACCATACATCTACAAACAAGTTTGGTGGGAATGCACAATCCATAAACAAAAGAAAAATTAAGTTATTCAAGCTACGTGCATGTGCTATGTTAATAAAATATTAAATAAGACTAATCCAAATATAATCAAATGAAAAACTACACTTTTTTAATGATATACCAAAATTCAAGCATATATAAAAGTTAAAAGAGTTACCTGGTTCAAGCTTTTCTCTACCTCTAATAGCCAAATCTCGACCAAAGCTATCTTTTGCATCCTCATATAGTTTAAGCTCCATGCATGCTTGTAAATCATCACTGCATATCTCCTTCTTTTCTAACAAATTAAGAACACCACCCTTCACCTCAACATCTCCTGCATATGTTTTCTTATCATACCTAAGAGCTGGATTGAAGAAGTAAGCAGCCTTGTGAAGATCTCCTCGAAAGTGTTTATCCCACCTTTTGTTGATAATATCAACGTAAGGTTTGTACAACACTTCCTTATTATTGTAGATTTTCTTTATCCCCTTAATGCACCTCCTAATTCCTTCATACACATACCCCAGAGCTGGCTTCTCATCTGAGTCAACAAGTCTCAACAGCTTTATGATCGGGGTAGCCACTTTCACTACCTCCAAACAATCTCCCCAAAATTGAGTATCTAGAATAGTTTCACTAACCTCCTTTCCCTTCTGAGTTGCAGCATCTGCATTATCATGGAAGAACTCACTCACAGCTAAAGCTTGGAAGTCTTTCTTGTGCTCATAAACACTCTTTAAAGTTATGAAATGAGTTGCAAATCGAGTTGCAGCAGGACGAACAACTTCCACCCAGTTTGGTCTTTCCTTGAGCCAATTCATAATCGGCTGATGGTTATAAACAAACTTGGTCATATTAGAAGCTCTTCGAAAAAGCTTAGCAATATGATCCAATGATGCAAAATCCTTCAAGACCAAGTTCAAACAATGAGCTGCACAAGGTGTCCAATATACATGAGGATATTTCTTATGAATAAGATCACCACACTTCTTGTAGTTAGATGCATTGTCCGTAACCACCTGAACTACATTGCCAACCCCAATCCATTGAAGTACCTCATCAAAGAGCTTGAAAAGATTTTTTGCACTTTTGACAGTTTTTGATGCATCAACAGACTTCAAGAAGCAAATACCTTTAGGACAATAAACCAAAAAATTGATCAAAGTCCTACTCTTCCTGTCAGTCCAACCATCTGCCATCAATGTGCATCCACGTTCAGCCCAACTATCTCGATAACCTTCAACAAGCAACTCACATTCTCTTTTGCAATCAGCTAACAAAGTTACTCGAATATCATGATAAGAGGGAACTTTAAAACCTGGACCAATAGCAATTGCTGCAGTAAACATTGTCTGGAAATTTGCAGAGTTAGCAGCATTGAAAGCAATTGCATTCTCATAAAACCATTTTGCAATGACCATATGAGCTCGATGAGTTGCTTCTTTTGTAGCTAGGACACTTTTGATACCAGGTTGAGCTCCAGGGGTGGTTCTTGGAGCAAAAAAATTATCACCAGGATTTGAAGAACTAGAAATTCCTTTCCCCTTCCTCACCAAATCATCAATATCAATAGTTACCGGTGCAACAACCTGAACATCCTCGGCTCTGTTATCTTCTCCAACACCATATTCGTTACCCTTCTTTTTCGCTTCTTTCTTGTCATCCAGTTCTTTCAAAATATTTTTAATTTCCTCCCGAACATCAAAAGGAACTTTAGGACACTTCGATATATCACCTTTTATTTGAGCAAGATGCTGCTTCATTCTATATATTCCACCACCAAAAAATTCGTGTGCGCAAAACAAGCAGCGATAACCAGTAGTACCTTTATCATTCTTAATCTTGGCAATATATTTCCAAGCAGGATCATGATTCCCCCTTCTGTTCATTGTTGGAGCTGTAGAACTAGGGACCGTGGCACTCTTTTCTGTTGTTTGAGCGCCGGATTGAGGATTCTCCTCCATCTGTATGTGGAAAAAAATTGAACATAATAAATATATAAAATTAACAGCTTGAAATATGAAGTTGAAGACAGACTAGTTCATAGTTTTTCCAAAAAAGGATCGTAACTTTCCCCCTGGTAGGTTCTCGGCTTATATATGGTTATATACACTACTATTTGACTTATTCTGTATTTTTTAAAATAACAGAAACATTCACCAAAGTAAACAAACAAGAAAACTAAAAGTGATTACCACTAGTGCGGCTTGGTCGCTGAAGCTGATAGTGTGGCGCCTAGCAATTGCTTGTGGGGCCAATGGTGTAGACTGTAGAGGGATTTGACGTTTCCCTTTTGATGGTTGGGAGAAGAAATCAAGATGGTGAGTGGGTCGGCGGTAAAGAAATAAAAGAAAGATGGGAGAAGAAGACCCTAATCTCTAGGTTAGGGATTTGACGTTTCCCTTCCCCTTTTGGTTTTTATTTATTTATTATTTTCCCACTTTTTCAAGCTAGGAAGATATATTTCAAATTTGAAAAATAAAACAAAAATCAGTCAAAACCGGCGGTTCGGGTCAGCCGGTTTTCACGGTTAACCGGGCGAACCGGTTACAACCCGGCGGGCCATTTTCTGTATCGTTTTTGCACTATCGGGACCGGGGATATGGCCGGGTCCGGTTTTTTTCGGTCGGACCGGCCGGTCCGGTCCGGTTTTGATAACAGTGGTAAAACCAGTAACCAAATTTGCAATTTACCCCGGAGCCTATACTAATATTCTATGTTCTCATTGCACAAAACAAGTCATTGCGGGCTGGATCCTCAAATGACCTGGTGGACATTTGGTCCTTCGACCTTAGGGCCTGGTCCTCACTTAACCACAACGTCGTCTTTGCCCGCCAAATCCTTTTACTCATGTCCGTAGTTCCTCAGCTTGGGCAGCGAGATCCCAACTGACACTTGTGGCTTTTGGGAATAACCCTAAAGAACAAAATAATCGGAAATGCCGGTCACTGAGGAGCAGAGACAGAGAGCGGAAGCAAATCGATTGGCAGCTCTAGCGAAGCGGAAAGCATTCACGGAATCCCTACTCAACCAACAGGATCAAAATCGATGGAGGCTCTTCAAATGTCCAAAGCTATCTCCGGATGTCAATTCCTCCACCAACTACCCGAATTCTTATGTTGTCGACCCCGTCTCGACTACCCATTTGGCTGTAAAGTTCAGGGCTGTGCTCGAGATTTGCTCACCTGACTCGTTCTTGGTGAGGCCAGAAGCAGTGAAAGGGTTTGTATATCCAGGGGAGGAGGAGTGTTTGAGGAGGTTAAGTCACTGCATATCCGATGTAAGTTATTTATGTGTCCTTTTTCCGCAAATTCGTCAAATTTGAAGGCCGTTTAAGTTAATCATTGAACCAGATCTTTAGTTTGTTTCTTGAGTCACATCCATGCCTCTTTTTCACCTTTTCCCTTTCATAAGGTAATGCCATCACATTACACCCAAAACCATGGAGGTGAAACGGCCTGTGTCTTTAAGCTTGGAGACTATGATGTAGTTCTGACGTGCTTAAAGAACCTAAAGGGCATCGAAATCGAAAAGATACCTTTCAGCACCCTTCATGTTATGCAAAAGCTCTTACATTCCGTTGATACTGGAAGATGGGAGCCATACCGACCTGAACATTTGGCGGATGAAGAGGTTGATGAGGTTATCGGGAAGCTTCCGGGAAAGTTGCTGGATAGACTGTTACCTTTCCAAGTTGATGGTTTAAGATTTGCTGTGCGAAGGGGTGGCCGGTGCCTTATTGCAGATGAAATGGGTCTTGGGAAGACACTACAGGTAAACTGTTCAAGAAACTGTTTGAGAACTTACCCTCGCAACTGTATCATCTTTATGTCATTCGTCACGGTAAGTGAACCGCAGCCTGCTTAGCTGAGGTGCGTTCCATGTTTTGACTGTTTATGGGATCATTAGCAATTTTCTGTGGTCGAATTGGCTGGTTCTTGTTGGTCTTTCAATATCATAGAGGAATATTGGCATCATCAACCAAGATCAACAGAGAGATATTATTGTAGTATGAGACTCAGACTACTAATCCTGGCTAGCAGATGTTGCTCAATTTTGAACCTTATCCCTAACCCTAACCCTAAATCCATAACCCCTTAATCCTTCAAATTAATGTAAATTTTGAATAATTTTTGTACTAATTCATGGGGTTTCTCTCCATCATATCATCCGTGATGATTAACATCGTTTGACATGAATCGCCTGCTCGAAATGTTGACTATGAAGTGGGTGCATTCGAAAAGTGAGTGCACCGAAGACAAAACCATATAATATATATATGAATTGTGGAAGTTAGCAGATGTTGCTCTTTTTATAATTATATATATTACTTGTGGAAGTTTGCTTCCATTTAAAGCATTGGTCATGTGTCCTTAACTTGCTCTGTTTTGTCTGCAGGCAATTGCAATTGCTGGGTGTTTCATTCATGAAGGTCCTGTACTCATTGTTTGTCCTGCTATCCTGAGATATTCTTGGGCAGAGGAGTTGGAGCGATGGCTTCCATCTTGTTTACCCTCAGAAATCCACCTTGGTAATTAGTGTAAACCTGTTAACATGGCCTCTATTCGATTCTCTTTTATTGTGGCTTCTGCTACAGTTCTTATTGCTGGTTGCTACCTTCTGGCTTCCCCTTTAAGAAACTATAGCATCTTTGTTGAGTTGTTTCGTGCTTTGTCCAACAAATAAAATAAATGTCCCCTCTTATTCATTTTCGTTCATAATAAATGATACAGTCTTTGGTCATCAAAACAATCCTGCACTCCTAGAGAGGAAGCCAAGAGCCGTGGTAATTTCCTTCAAAATGCTTCATCATCTGAGAAGTACCATGCTTGAAAGAGAATGGGCATTAATGATAGTTGATGAGTCTCATCATCTACGCTGCTGCAAAAAGAAGGAGTCACATGAGGTGAAGAAATATGTGCATGTGATTATATTATACCTTGTATACTAATGTGATTCATGGCTTTTCTGTAATATGAATCTCGCAACCTTGGTGTACCTTTTTGCACTGCACTTTCTTTCGGATTCAGACTCTTCTTCTCTGTATTGCTATATGATGTTATAATGCATGTGTGCGCACCTTACTGGATCTACATGTACTACCAACTTAAAATCCATGCTACTTGAATATTACTATTAGACAGTTATTTGGAGAAAGATAATCTTCGTTTTTTCTGCTTGTCTTGCACTCTAAATGTAATACTTGATAGGGCAATGACTTCAAACTTTTTGTTCACATTGGAGAATAAAGTATATGATGAATATTCCAGATGTAAATAGCACAGGCACATATAGCTGCTAAAAGACGTTTATACAATAGAAGCTGACTAACTGAAAGTAGCTGCCTGTTCCGTGCTTCTTAGAATGGTGAACTGTAATTTAAGCTGTAACTATATAGGCCTTGTAATTATTCCAATGAATGCAATTCTTGCACTTCCATTAAGGAATCCTCTTAGAAATTGGAATCTTAATGTAGTAGAATCTGCTATACTGGAATTAGGTTGTGGTGTGCTGCATGTTAGGGATTATGAGGAACTTTGTCTTAGAAATTGGAATCTTAATGTAGTGGAATCTGCTGCACTATAATTAGGTTGTGGTTTGCAGCATGTCAGGGATTATGAGGAACTTTGTCTGGAGGCACATATGTACATATTTTCTGCTTTGAATAACCATCTATAAGTGTCATTCATTTATCCAAGTTAATGAAAAGTGTTGCATTGTATTTATCAATTGAGCATTGTCCCTGAATATCTTTTGTTGGCAACAGATCGAAGCTGCTCTCGCCATGTCAGCAAAGATCAAGCGCATAGTTCTTTTGTCTGGCACACCTTCTTTGTCCAGGTTGTAGTTTACTCTCACAATAACTTTCTTATTGGTCATTCACATGGTCTCTATAAATACGTGATCTTGTGTTGGTTATTTCTGTTTCATTCAATAGTTTCCTTTGGTTTTCTGAATTATACTATATGCGCCTTAACACCTTGGGTCCATGAATTCCTAGATCATCATAGACCGTACGACATTTTTCATCAGATAAACATTTTATGGTAATTTTCTTTGCCGCTTTTTTTAGTTTTCAATGATAGTTCTGTTTCCAGGACTCGGGACATTGAACTGATATTATTAAATTCTCTCCTGCTTTGTAGGCCTGGCTTACTTGGACAGAGCAAGTATGATTTTGCAAAGACGTACTGTGCAGTCAAATTTGTCAACACTTCTGATGGCAAAGCATTCCAGGTACTTTTTTATTTTGGCAGAGGCAAAAAAAGAAAAAAAGAAATCAAATTAGAATTTCATCCCTTCAAGGCAACTTATTTTAAGCCATATGGTTAACTTGGTGTTTAATTTAACAGGATTTCTCAAAAGGTGTACGCTTGGAAGAGTTGAATGTTTTGCTGCAACAAACTGTCATGGTAATGTTGCATTATATGTATATCATATATGAGGCTTTTGAGAGTCTACTACAACCATTTTAACGTATCAACAGGCCTCATAGAAATCAGTTAATGATTATTTGGTTCGTGAATGCAACAGAATGTTTCACTTGCATGTTGAAACGTTTCCAAGAATCAACTGGAACCTAGATAGTGTTCTAAAGAATTACATTTCAGAACACTCCGGTGTATATAGTTAATGTTTCGGTTTAGATGACGGCAAAAGTTGTAGCATGCTCTGCCTTTTCCAAGCGCTGGTGCTGCATTACTGTTTTTCTCTTATTGAGATTAATGTCTCATTCCTGTATGTAAATGATATGCCAGATAAGACGCTTGAAGCAGCACCTGTTGGATCAGTTGCCACCAAAACGCAGACAAATTATAAGACTGCAGCTGAAGAAATCTGATATTCTTCAGGCAAAGGCTGCTATTGGGGTGGAGATTAGTGAATCTCCAGGAGGTAAGGTTGAGTACTTTATGATACTTTATTGGCTCCAAAAATCATGATTTCCTCTTGTTCAGCTCTTGTTTAGTTTTTGCTTTATAAATTGCCTATTATGGCCCGTTTTTCCAGGTTTCTTCTATTTACTTTTAATGATGATTTTAATAAGAGGGTGCCTTAAATAGTTCACAAAGCAACTGGATGACTCTTTTGGGATAAAATGGAAGAACTAGTTGCTCCCTACCTACATGACAATGTGAAACAAGTTCTTGTTTTGCTTGGGTGTATGGAACTTGGAACTTGAAGGGCATGCCAGTGTGTATACATTTGTCATCTATTGATATGTTTACGTTTATTAATCATTTTCCCTGTGGGAAGTATGGAAGAAGTAGTAGAAAAAGCATTGATGGCTTCATGTCTCACTTGGGCCGTATCAGAACTTTTGGAGTCATGATTTCATTTATGATTATTCCCTCTTATATAATTGAATCGCTTGGTCTTTAACATCTGTTATTGTGTCTGAATGGAGCAACATCAAAATTTGTTAATAGCTTGGCAATGGTTAGTCGGGTGTGTCAAACGGAGCACATATAAAGTTCATTAATATCAGACCATTTTATCTTTACCAACCCACAATTTCAATGCGTTTCAGTGGGCAGGAAGAGTTCCAAGTCAAGTGAGCTCTCTCTCCAAGAGCTTGGTATTGCAAAACTTCCAGGATTTCGGGAATGGCTTTCGATTCATCCCCTCATATCAGAAGCAGATGGCTCTACCCAATTGGATGCCAACCCTGGTTCTCAGAAAATGATAATTTTTGCACATCACCTTAAAGTTCTTGATGGAGTGCAGGTGAGACATCTGTGCCGACGGACTTCTGTTCCTCGCCACTGTATTGCAAGCTTTGACAATTTCTTATAAGCACCCGCACTTTGAAGATACTAAATGTGGCCACCAGCTATTGGAAATGGGACAAGAGTGAGGTGAACAGATTGTTCATTCTCACCACCCTTCTCCTTCCCCTTAAATGTCTTTCCATGATTACAACAATTATAAATCATGACTTGTATTCTGCTGGCTCTTTATTGATCGACTCAGATATGTTTACTGGAAAATTCCTTTTGTTTTTTAATTGCATTATTTTAGAAGCTAGAATGTCAACCGAAGTTAGTTATGCTTCTTCTACACATCTGACTGTGATGTCAAAGATATATCTTTCTGTGCCCTGCATGCAGTATGAAGTTGTAATTCGGGCTGTCATTTCTTCCTCTAATTACATGTCAATGCCTATTTGATGAAACATTTCTTCAATTTAAATTTCTCAGGAGTTCTTGTGTGAAAAGAAGATTGGATTAGTCCGCATTGATGGTTCAACACTTCCAAGGGATAGGCAGTTAGCTGTCTTGTCATTCAAATCATCTGACGAGGTTTGTAAATCTTCCAGATGTATGCGTTATTGTTATTATTATTCTTATTATTATCATTATTATTATTTAATGAAACAGATCCATTCTTTTATCATGAGCGGAGAAAATGGATTGAAAATTAACTCTTAGATGGCTATTTCAAAGGGTTTCTATCAGTAAGCTTGTTTCCTTGAGTTTGATGAGCCATTTAAAAATTGAGCCCTTGTTTCTTTTTACTAATGAGAATTAATCAACTGGGTGATAGATGCTCAACCCTTCAGTTATAAATCCATCCTATTTCCATTGCCTCCTCACCTTTAATGACATATAGATCTTACAAATGGCTGCTAAATATTATGCTATCATATTTCTCCAGGTTAAGGTTGCATTAATTGGTATAAAAGCAGGAGGGGTTGGACTTGACTTTTCTGCAGCACATAACGTTGTGTTCCTGGAGCTTCCTCAATGCCCATCTCTGATGCGGCAGGTTTGTGCATTCCATTCCTGGTCATAGAGTTATAAATTATTAACTTCCATCTATGGTTCTTACTTGGAACCCTGTCCAAACAGTGCTTTTCTCCAATTGACAACATAGTTGGATTTCTTTATTTATAAGGACAACATACTTGGATTTCTAGTATATATCAAAGCTTTGAAGATATGTCACCAATGAAAAGTAAAGTGGGTTCAATTCAACATATACATGAAATGTAAAAAAGGAAAGAAAAAAAAAGTAAAACAAAATGCAACCTGCACTGAGAAGCATTTTTCGTTTTAGGTGGGGCGTACATTGTATTAGTAACCAATTTGGATACATATTTTACCTATACACTGATGCATGAGCGGTTCCATGCACCTTTGGTTATTTTCAAGAAGTTTTCTAAATCATAGATCTTCCTTAATTAAATTTAGGTTGAGTTTGCGCAGCGGCAATTACAGGCTAGTATAAAAAACTCATGGGAATGCAAATGGGGATACGAAACCTCCACCCACATGGGGAGGGTTTAGGAATTGAAAATGGGGATGGGTTTTGAGCCCCAGACCCACCCCCTGCCATCCCTGGTGTTTTATCTGATGGTTCTCTAATGTCTACGTTTAGTGTGCTTTCATATAAAGACATGTATTTCTAAATTAAATGGTACAATTAGTATTGTTGCTTGATATGTTTATGTGGGAATGGGAAATGTAGAGAACTATATAGGGGAATCGTTACTGATATTCAAAACTTTTCTTGTGGTAATATTTCACTTAAAACTCCAACTTCTTTCAGAAGATGAGAGCTTGGTGAATTGGGTATTAGCTAATTGCTTGCTGATGTCTAGACAAAGCGAGTTAAATGGCTCATGTGATACCTACGTTGGCCTTTTCTTTTTACACCATGTCTTCTGTTTTTTTTAATCCGTAGACATTCTGGTTTAAGGTATGATCTCCAGTCTCGCTTCTGGTAACATGCTGTAGTTTGCAGGCTGAGGATAGAGCTCATAGGCGTGGTCAAACAAAAGCAGTCAACATATATATCTTCTGTGCAAAGGTGCATATATCTTCTCTTTTCTCTTCCCTTGTCTTTATAGTTCTCTCCTTCCTCTTGTATGCATATGTTTCCATTTGATGTTAGTTTATAGACGATTGCTCCAAGATTCGAGCCTACAGTAGGCTGGAATTTTTACAGTGAATATAAATGTAACAAATGTTTCTGAATATAACAGGACACTGATGATGAAAGGATTTGGCAGAGTTTAAACAAGAGTCTGCATCGTGTTTCTTCTACAACAAATGGAAAATATGACGCACAAACTGAGATTACGGTATCTTCTCTCACCATCTTTTATATTATGGTTCTACTAAGAGGCTTTTGGATTGGGAATTTCTATAGTGTTCAATTTAATCATCAATCATCATCTTGATGCATACGTTTACTTGATCTCATACCTGGTCTACTTTTCGTGTTAGTTATTGTCTGCTTCGTGTAAGTATTAGTCTTGCATTAAACGCTTCAGACATTTCCACTGCATTATCTTCTTGAGAACATTTTACTTGGCATTTATTCACATGACTTATTGAAAGAACCAACCCGTTTTGTAGTAAAAGTTGAAATGATAAAAATTGGTTTGGATCTCAACTTGAAGTGGTCTCTTTACTTGGGAAAGCATGGATCTTATCTTGTTATTTCTTTTATGACGAACGATCATCACAAAGTGAACCCCAGGCAGCATAATCCTGGTTCGACCATGGTGGCATGGAATTCAACGCCCACAGCCTGGATATTGCCAACTATTCATAATATTCTTCGTACTGGCGACAGTGGGATTTGAACCAGGGATCTTGTTTTTGTTGTTTGCTAGCTCTTGTAGAAGTTTCACTTCTATCAAATAAAACCTATGATTTTCTTGTTTCTTTTGTCAACCTTTATCGAAGCCCCTTGTACGGATCGTTCTATTAGGTCGTCTGGATGCATCAATTGGGTCCAAATACCACTTATTGCATCAACTAGGCAAAAAAATCCATGTTTGACTTGGAAAAAGGTGCCAATTGTGGATGTGCCATTCAGAAAGACAACTTGGAAGAGAGAGAGAGAGAGGTTGCATTTGGAAATGCCACGTTCTCCCCCCAAATGGTACCTTCTGCAGATGACCCTTATACAGACAAAAAATATTCGTTACATACCAAATAATGTAAGGGGCTGGGAAAAATTGGCTGGTCTGCTGCAAAGTTTCATCCTTTGTTGGTTTCATTAGACTCATAAGGCACTATGAGATCGGACTTGATGAGCCTCATTTTGCAGGTGGATGGTATTTCTTATTTAGAATCATCCGGTACAGTGAATGGAAGTTCTGGAGCTCAAACTTTAGAGGAGTCCTTGTACCGTCAAGTCTCTGATTCTGAATTTTCAGTATCTCCTTGTTCTGGCTCAGCTTTCAATAGGGATGCTGTTAAAGTGCATGGTGAAGCATTGGAAAGTCTACCTTATAGACCTATGGAGCACTTTGACTTTCTTGGAAGCATGATTCCTCATTATGATTTCCATCCTAAGGTAATACCAATGCTTATCATCCACATGATGATTTTAAATCTTTTTTCTGGTAAATGTTCTGAACATTTAAATCTAATTTAGAACAGGAAAATGTGGTTCTTGACCAAGAAATGGGAAAGGAGTCGATCCCAAATGAACATCTAGAAAGTATTTGCTGGAAATCTAATGATAGGAATCGGAGCACTGCATTGTCGGCTGACATGAATGTAGAGAATGCATGCGGAGATCAGCTGGCAATGGTATATCTTCAGCTACACTTGGTACCATGTCCATAAGCATGAGTTTTTTCATAGTTTCCTATCAAGTTTTTTTTTTTTTTTTTTTTTTTTTATAACTTTGCTTTCATTGTAAATGAAGGAATTGGAGTGCTGCTCTCAGAGAACCGGGCCAGCTGATGTTACTTCAGTTCGGCAAAACGAAATTGATGGATGTGACTCTAACTTGATACGTTCCCTACGCTTTGAGGTATGTAATTAAACCTCACTTGTGTTATTTCTTTCTGGATAGTTTAATCTATTGCTTTCTGTTCCAATAGAAGTCTCACTGAACCTTAACCTTCATTGTATTCTTATGTTCTGTCATCGAAGAGACACTGTTGAACTTATTCATTTTGTGATCCGCAAGATCTTCGGCGCTAGCAAAGTCGCCACTGCCGCTGAGTGGAGGGAGACGGACGGTTTAGGGATTTGATATTTTTTAATTAATTCATTTGAGACATCGAATAAATAAAATCAAAATTAGAATTGTTTGGAGTAAATTAGGGACAATCATTTCATATCTTATTTAACGGTCACTTAACAGATAATTGGATGGAAGGGTAAACTCGTTACATTTTAATACCAAGGTCGATTTTGTTATTTAATGGCATTAGCTAATTATAGTGATTGACCAAGTATCCATTGCATCAAACATTGTGCAGGTAAGTAAATACACTGGACGAATTCACCTTTATTCTTGCATACCAGGCAAAGACTCTAGACCTCAACCCCTGTTTGAAAGCTTCCGACCCGAAGACCTCGAGCCACTTTATTCTCCCACTTTGAGTGACAAGGAACAGGCAGCTTCTGAATCTCTGACAGGCGACCCAGATTATAGACAAGCAGTTCGCATATTCATCGAGGAGTGGAATATGTTGCGTCCCATTGAGAAGAGGAAATTATTTGGCAAGACTTTACAGCTTCCTCTCGCAGTTGAATTGTGCTACTTGAATGAGACTATTAACCATAACACAACAGTACGTTCATGGATTCTGATTTTCCCCTCAGGCTCAAAACTAAGTATAACCTATAGACACTCGATAGTTTCATCTTTCCTAAATACTTCGCCATAGATTACCAGCTAGTTGATATTAGAGGTATTGCTGAATTCTCTGTGGCAGCCACTATATCCTTTACCTCTGTGCTTATTAATTCATTTCTGGTGGGTGATGAACTAAGAGATTATAGAGCATGTGTAAAACCTATTCTTACTTGAAACAGGGACTTTTGAAAGGTCAAAGCAAACGCCGGAACACACCCTCGTCCGAGATTAGCCATCCTCTGCCATCCGATGCTGTTTGGAAAAGTGTACATCTGTGTAGTGGCCGCGGTAATAAGGAGAGACAGTACACTCAAGGTTGGACTCTATCAGATGAGCCCCTCTGCAAACTTTGCCAAACACCATGCAAGTAAGTTACTGATGGTTCCGTCTTAATAATTTATCCCTGATTTCAAGATCACTTTCCTGCAAATTTTTACTGTGATTATTGTTGGGCCTTTTATTTTTTTGGATACGTAGCTATATAATGCCATCCCAAATCATTGAATGGTGGAAGGCTTTTCTTTCAGGGGTAGCAATGCCAAGAAACCTGAATATTTTGAGGACCTATTCTGCAATCTTAGTTGCTATGAAGAATATAAAATAAGAACTAGTAACAGATCCCTCCGACAGGTTAGTTTCGTGATCAATGTTAAACTATGATTTACAGCTTTCACTATGCTTCCTTGCCAAGTACACTGTTTCCGACTTCCTTGTTTGGCTCTTCTAGGAACTTTTCCAAATAGAGCATGGAGTGTGCACAGACTGCAAGTTAGACTGTCATCAACTGGTGAAGACTATAAAACCTTTATCATTGGAGAGGAGAGCAGAGTATATTCAAAAAGTAGCACCAAAGGTGGCTAGTCGGAAAAAGTTGTAAGTGCAATGGCGACGATGATTCACTTTGAACTCTTAATGTCATGGGGTTTTCTGTTCAGCAGTTTGCTCTCAAAAGGGTGAAATGGTTAGTTTATGTGCCCAACTGTAGCCCAGTATTGCTAATGGTTGCCTCAGAAAATGTGGAACTGAAATTGTTTTGAACCATCATTTTGTACATTTGCATTCACATTGATCAGGCATTGATGACTATATTTGGCTTGCAATAACTGTAGTTGATTCTGATGCATTTTACTAATGCAATAGTGAAATGTTCCTACACTAACAGTTTTACCATCATCTTTAGGCTCAAGAATCTTGTAAACTATCCATCTGAGGGGAATGCATGGCATGCAGACCACATAGTTCCTGTCTATCGTGGTGGTGGTACTGGGTTTATCTCTAGAGTTTGATTGCTGTCGTTTGTATTATTTGAATTTGGTTGTATTGTTATTACAGAAAAACTGTTCATCTGTACATTTATTCAGGTGAGTGCAGGCTAGAGAACATGAGGACTCTGTGTGTGGCATGCCACTACGAGGTGACTGCAGCTCAAGGTGCCGAGAGACGTTTGGCAAAGGAAAAGGCTAGGAAGCAGCTTAAAGCCATTATGAAGGAACTTGAGCAGGATCAGAATTCAGAGGACTCTGGTAAAATTCCCAAGGTAAGAGTATATAGAATCTAGAACTGGCTTCTTTTACCATGATAGTTTTTGAATTCGGCTGATCTCAGAGGTTGCAGAAGGTTGCACTGTTGAGTAGGAATGGCAATAGGCCAATGCGGGTATCTAACTCGTGCCATGTCAGGTAGTAATAGCCTTGCAGGGCGCAGATCGGGGCATATTGACCAAGTCTAGCATGTGATTAGAAGCAGCTATAGAAAATAAGGTCATTTATGCCCTGCCTACCTGGCGCCCAAATCTATTTGCTAGATCATAGTCATGGTGCAGCAGCTGTTTACTTCAGCAGGGTGTTCGGGAGTTCTATACTTTCCACAAGCAATTCATTTTACTCTCCTCTCTCGGTGTAGATGTTATGTAATTCATCCAATGACAACTGCAAATTCTCAATTCGCAGAAGCAAGAACATTCAGAGAAACAAGAAGGAAACACTAAAGAGGACAACGATCTGTTTGTGAAGGTTCCTGGAAGTGCATACTCTACAAGAACAGAAAAATGTCTTGCAAGCCAAGATGACAAGCCATCCAATGCTGAAAAAGCATCTTAACGAATTGTCAGTTAAGGTATATAAGGTCATTTTTTTGGGTGATATAGTTTGTAAGCAAAGATAGAGCAAGTTAGTTTTTGCTGGCTTAAGTCCTCCGAACCCGGCTGTGACTGAAAAATTTCGGCCTAGAAACAAGCAGACTTGCTCTTCTGAGTGGGACTGGTGCCACTTACAGAGTGACTGGTGGATGTTAGTTGTTAACTGTCATATTCACCAGCAGTGGCGGAGCCAGGAAATTGGCCAAGGGGTGTCTTTATCATATCATAAAAAATCACCTATACAATAAAAAAGTCAACTTTAAATTAAACAAAAAGTCAACAACGCAATACTCTAAATTCACACAATTACATCAAAATAGTTTCACGTACACCGATTACAACGTCAAACAAATAAGTTCAGTACATACAAATTAAGACTTCCATTCATCAAATATTACAAATTAGAACTCAGAAGTACATTGGAATTGATTTTGTGAAACAAACAAGTGAACGTCAATTGGTACTTCTTCACTTTCAACTTTGTTTAAACAAAAGACAAGAAATTTCTCTGTTGTAGAGCTACAAAAAAAAAAAATGAGCGAGTTTAAACAAAAGATAACAATTTATTACTATAAATAAAGACGAAAGTGCATTACATAACAAAACTCACTCGATCGAAATGATAAGAAATTCTTTCTGCAACTGAATGGTCATTGGTTGGAATTTGTATATACCCCTACTGAAAAAAATTTCTCCAAAGCCAGGGGGTGCAAAGCACCCCCTCTCCAAGTGGAATACCATTTCTCCAATGGCAATTAGGATGTGGTAACTGAAGTTCAGAACCGTGGTCTGTGTTGTTTGAAAGCTCCCACAAGCCGCTATCAGAAGAGCAGAATACAGTAGCTGCATCACTTAATTTGGTAAGACTTGATATAATGGTGATGCATCACTTGATTTTGTAAGTTCGTAAGCCTCAATCTGAGTTCACTTTCTCTATGGCAGACAGACCTCAAACATTGAATTTGTAATTGATTCGCAATTTACTGTTGAGATATTAGCTCTTTATTTTGGAAAAAATCCCAAAGTACACTAGTAATTCAAAAAATTCCCAAAATACGTAAGTTATAAAAAAATTCCCAATCTACGCATGTTTCACATTCACCGCCTTTGTTTAAGGCAGTGAATGTAATCACCGCATTAGAGAAGGGCGGTGAATAATTCACCGCTTTTATTTAAAACGATGATGCATTCACCGCAGCCTTGTAAAACGGTGAATAACGAGGGAAACATTCACCGCTTTACACAAAAACAGTGAAGTGTTCACCATTTTAGTAAAAGGTGGTGAAATATTCCTCGCATCTGAACGACACGATGAAAGCGACGCGGATCGCTGACGTGGACTAACGCACCCTCCTGCAAAACCATCATCATAAAAATACTGGTGAGAATGAGTTTCATCGACCGCCTCGGTCTCAACATATTTCTCTGCAAGCCGCATCCCGTTATTGCTTAGGAACTGTAACATCATCGTAACCGCGTCATCATCGTTTATGACAACTTCATGGTACACAACCCCGCCAGCACTCTTGTCTGGATACCGGTAACTAATTTTACCAAGTCTCGTATGTCCGCTCGTACAAAACCTGTCTGCACAAATATCACGGAGTTCTTGAAAATTGAATCGCGACTCAATGTTCAACATAGTGGATTCACTGTCCTCATAATCAGTCGCTATGTCAGAGTTTGTCACCCTTCCATTCCACCGAATAATAAGCTGAAACTTCTTGAATTTACCCATATCTACAATTTACAATAAGTAACTATTAGCTTAATTTCATGTAAAATTAATCAAAAGCATATTGTACGATTAATATTACTCCATCTCATAACTAACATAACATAAATTCAACTAACTAACAACAGCATAAATTCCCCAACTAACAGAACATATTTGCTACGATAAGTAATTCATTAGATAACAATATAACTAGTAAAAACATCATTAGGCTACAATACAAAAATTAAATCATACTGAAAATTCATGTTATGTGTATGTTGCTCGGTTTTGGTTGCTGAAAATTGAAGAGGGAGAGGGGTTACGTTTTTACAACTGCTGGTGGGAGTGGTATTTATAAGAAAATCGGGGGCATTCACCGCGTCAGTCTAAAACGGTGAACACTATCACTGCGTTGCCCTAGCGCGATGAACATTAGGTGGTAGTGACCTAATTTTCACCTAGCAGGGGTGGGAAACGTGGGAAAGAATCACCGCCTTAACCTAGAGGGGTGAAGTGTTCCCCGCTTTCCCCAAAAACGGTGATGTCTTCACCGTTTTTTTCAAACGCGGTGACCGTTTCACCGCTGTAAATAAAGACGGTAATTTGTTCACCGTTTTTGACCTACGCGGTGAATTATTCACCTCCCTTCTCTAATGTGGTGATTACATTCACTGCCTTAAACAAAGACGGTGAATCTGAAACATGTGTATATTGAGAATTTTTTTTATAACTTATGTATTTTGAGAATTTTTTTAATTACTAGTATATTATGGGATTTTTTCCCTTTATTTTACACTTTGAGTACGGAACATAAATATCTGAAATGCAATTATCTCCAATTACAAGTTGTAAAAAAACGTTAGGGCATTTCTGAATGAACTTTTTTCTTCTTGCATTTCTGAATGAACCTTGGATTGGATGAGGCGCGGACTAGACAGGTTAAGGATGTCCTGACATACCTCTAGAATTTGGAGGGAAATTGTTAGCCGTAGCTAGAAGTTTAGGGTTTACGAGACTAAAAAAATATCGACAACTCTTATTAGCCATAAACCTTGTCCTTCAACATAATATAGCAGAGTTTTACAAACTTTTAATTTTTTTGCACAAAGATATCTTTTTAGTAGCAAAATGTAACGAGTTTACCCTTCCATCCAATTATATGTCAAGTGATCGTTCAATAAGATATGAAATGATTGTCCCTAATTTACTCCAAACACTTTTAATTTTAATTTTATTTATTCGATGTCTCAAATGAATTAATTAAAAAAATATCAAATACCTAAACTAATCCCTAAATCGTCCGTCTCCCTCCACTCAACGGCAGCGGCACCTGCTCCCAGCATCTACTCACCGCCGACTGGAGTAGAGAGAAGGTTTACGAGGAACATGTTGGCGACTTTGCTAGCGCCGAAGATCTTGCGGACGGCGGCAAGCTTGTGGGGCTCGTGAGGTGAGAAGGGGCCGGACATTAATCCTTGACACATCTTTGGCGGAGGAACTTGTTGGCGGCGTAGCTAGTAGGGTTCGGATCAGGTCAGTAACCCTATCCTCAGTAACTATGCGTAACCCCTTCCTCTATCCTCCACGTGTCTGCATCTGAGCCGTTCCCTTTTATTTAAATGAAACACGGAGGGACAGTAGGATAATTTGCATCCACCCCTTATTTATTGGTGACGACCTAACGCCTACTTTTGACCGAACGTGGACCCCACTCCCCGTCCTCCACACTAGGGGTGGGCAACGGGACGGAACGGGATACCCGTCCCGTTTGAAACGGGTAACCATTCCTATTTGACGGCCAAAGTCCATCCCATGTCCCAAACCCATATGGGTAAACGGGTACCCATTACCAATATGAGACGGATAACGGGTAACAATACTACCCATAAATACCCAAAGTTTAAATCACTAAAATTTTAACAAAATTTTAAACTTAACTTGTACATGCTTAACAATGATCACAAATACTCGATTTGCATTGGTGAGCTGCTGCAAAGATGCATCGAGCCATCCCACAACCTGAGCCGGACCTCCCCTTTCGCAAAGAATCGCGCCAGAACAAGTATGGCGATGAACCCTCCAAAGCTTGTTACAGACACTAGCTTCACTGCCAAAATCTGCATTGAATCCCAATTAATGAAGAAAATTTGAATTAATAATATAATGGAGATCGAAACCATGAATTGAATCCCAACAAGTGGGTATTGGCTTGCAAAGATGCATTGAAACCACAAATACTCGGAGTTGAGCAGAGCTGCGCGGGGATGAGCGATTGGAATTGGAGAGTTGCTGTTGGCTGCGCGGTGACTGCACCTACCTGTCGCGAGGATAGGGAGAGCTGGGTCACTCATGTCGTGGCTGACTCGTCAAGGCCGAAGGGTTCTAGCCATGTTGGTCCTGAATTGAAGACTATTGAAGCCCGACTTTCTGCTTTTCAGTTTCAGCCTTTGAGTTTTGAATGGGTATAACGGGTACCCATATTACTCAAATAGGTATTTGTGGGTAACCCGCGGGTACCCATTGTAAGAATGTACAATCCCAAGTCTCATCCGTTAATAATATTACGTGTAATATGTGTACACGTAACCCGTAAAAAACGGGACGGGTATGGGTATACCCAAATACCCGTTACCCGTTGCCCACCCCTACTCCACACGATTCGCTCTGTCACTCTTTTATCTATTGTTAAAAGAAAAATTAAATTATTTCTTCTCTCTCCCATCTACAACTAAAAGAGAAAAAAAAGTACATGCTATCTGCACACTAACTCTATCTCTAAAACAAATATGAATTCAACAATCTCAGCTCTCTCTACCCCAACTCCAACTCAAATTTGAATGATGATTTTTTCATTTATTAATTCTCTGCCAAGAAGGGTAATTACAAGTATGAATATGACTATCATTTTCTACTACCATGGTAAAACATGGCAATATATGCTAAAGAAAATTACAAATCTAATTACCATACAATACCATATGGTATAAATGCTATAATAAAATTAGAAATCTAACTACCATACAATACCACATGATATAACGTGGTAAAACATGTTACAAAAAATTATAAATCTAACTATCATACAATACCACCATAGTAGAACATGGTAAATCGAATGACCATAAGATAATCATAATTACCATACAATACCACATGGTAAGAGAACGTAAAACCATTTTAAAACAAATATAAATATAATTACCATCATCTACGACCATAGTAAAACATGGTATGCATAAAAATAC